TCAAGTTGAAATTTATCGCATTTACTATGGTGTTTTGGGGTGGGCTACTCGCTTATGTGGGCCACTCGCATGTGAAATACGTTAACTAACTTGTCACATAAAATGCTACAAAGTTGAAAATTTGATAACTAGAGGCATGGAAAGGAGATGGAAAAAAAGGCTGATCTTAGAGTGAGGATCACCGTTCTACCTCGTAGAGCGGTTTTCCACAGTTCATATGTCAAAAACAAAATACCGCTCTTCATCCCGACCTGGTAATTTTCGACGACATACCAGGCATACGATAACATTTCAAGTCGACCAGCTGCATAACTAACGTCGACGTAGCCTCAGACGATCCCACCGCATTCATACTTTCCGCATTTTCCGCAAGGCCAGTACCGAGCCCCTTAATATTAACTATTTTCCCCGCCAAATCGACTTTCATACTTGTGTTTTCCTTCCCTGTCCCTCCGTGGGATTGTAATTCTAGTACTTTGTCCACCACACTCGCACTCATGCCTCCGCTATCCGCCACAGCAAGATCTGGCTGCAATTGAACCACAGAAGTCCGCCAGACGTATTGCATTGAGCGCTTCCCCTCTGGTCGCCACATCTCCTTCTCCGGCGGACTCGTGAAAGCTACAATGAGCCTACTAGAAACCTTTCCCTCGACCTTCAGATCCTCTCCCTGTATAAGCATCACGTGAAACCAGTCCTGCTTCGCTATGATCTTTTGCAGTTCCTCAGCACTAAGCTCAGGCGTCGTGGCGAGATTGGCCACTAGAGTGGAGGCTTGCAGATCGAGCTGGAATAGGGACTCATTTTGATGAAAGCGGTAATTTGGCAGTTTTCCACTAAGGAAGTGGGCAACATTCAGGAAGGATAGAATGTTTGTGGTGCTGATTAAGAGAGTGGACTTGCCCTCAGCACGAGGAGCTTGCGGTGTGGTGGTAAGTATAAAGACGGTAGCCCAGAGCTGGAAGAAAGAGAAGATGAATGAAGGCTAACCAGAGATGAGTCAGTCTGTATTGATATAAAAACACCCGTGGACTCGGGAGATGCTTACACATTCCGAGCAAAAGGCTTTGAACTGCTCCCATGCCACATAGTCATCGCCCCCCGGAAATTGATAAGCTAAAAAGGCAGATGCAAGTTCGGAAGCTCGTGATACTTCGTCCGGACCGGAAATGAGACGAGAGAACATAATGTCTCCGGAGCGTTGGTACATGTCGTGAAAGGACAGCCCAGCTCCCCAGCGTCTATCTTCTGCACGTTGCAATAATAAGAGCTGAAGTAAAGTCTGCAAATCGGCTTTGCTTATTGCAATGGATGACACTCTGACTGTCGACCCCTTGTGGTCAGCAAGTAGAAGGCGATATGCGGCGGCTTCAAACTCCCCATCGGCTACTGTAGCTCGTCCATGGTGCATATTCTCATTTATGATGGGTTGCGTAAAAGCAATAGTATCTTTGATATCTTGAAGCTGGAGCGATTCCTCCAGATCCTGAGACTGGGTCCCTGATTGCGGCCAAGGAGTGCTCAAGCTCCTGAAGATGATACGTGTGAGTCGTGGTACCTTGTCTGTGTAGAACTTTTCTGTGATTGTGTAAAAAGGCTGGCCATTTGAATTGGCTCCTAAAAGCTCATAACCGCGTGAGACAATGAATGCAAATGCTCTCCTGAACGCTTTGACATCAATTTCTGGTTCATTTGACGGTGCCGAGAAAGGAAAGTAGGCCCCGATAGAGAAAATGCACCAGAGTAGTGGTACGCAAGTAGTCACTGCTGGGTTTTCAGGTAGCCTGACGTTAATGTATCCAGCAAAGCTGTCTCTGTTCCACACGCGTTTGCCACTGGTGTTGGTCGTTGCATAGTTTGAGAAGATCTTCTCGACATCTTTGATACCATCCAACAGTTGATTAAGTGCTTTATCCAGATGGTTTAGGCAAGAAGCAGAATTGATGTCTTCGAGATATCGTCGCGTCGCTCCCTCAGCGGATGCCTTGCTGTGGCCGAACAGCAACGTGAGAAGGCGGTTGCGCCTGGTCATTTTCTGCTGTTGAGACCTATTTTCTTTGCTTATAGCGTCAGATACCGGGAATGTCTCAGGTTGCAAGTTGTTTTCGTTGTCGATGTTTGTTGTTGATGATGGATCACTGCCCCGTGTCAGGATGAGGTTCGGTAAGCGTATCACGTGAATTTCATGCGACTTATGGTATCCTGTAGGAAAAAATACAGCCATTTTTTCCACTAGACCATACAAAAACCCAGGATCCTGTTTAAGGCCTAGGGGGAGCCATATCCCAGTTCGACATATCCCTCTAACGCTTAGTGGACAATCCGCTTTTAGCGTAGTTGCCTTAGGCATAAAGTGCAGGGAGTGGAACCCGAACAGAAAGCAACTAGTTTCTTAAAACGTGTACGGAGTATATCGTGCCAAAATCTACTATGTCAGATACTCCAAATATATGTTACAAGAATAGTCGGCAGCGTTTGCAGCCTTGTGACATCTTTTTAGTTAATCTTTTTAGTTAATCTTTTTGGTTGTCTTTTTGGTTGTCTTTTTAAATGCCTTTGTTTTGTATATAAGTTGTATAGATAGACGGTAGAAAAAGGCGGAGAAAGGCTTAATTTGTGAAATGGACTTTTCTATGTATAACTTTGGATATTTAACAAATACGTTGTTATTTCATCTATCACAGCTTACGGCCTAATATGCAATGTACATCAAAGCAAACTAACTGTGGTATAAACTGTCCAAAGTTTGATTTCGACTTTATATACAGTATTCCAGAAGCAGCAAATTCTTGCCAGCCCTCCATCGCCTCATCAACAGGCAACAACATCCTCTTATCTATGCGGCCTCATCCGCGTATATCTTCTTGACAAAAGTAAAGCAATTATTCCTAATCTGACTGTATTTCCCCATATTTGCGAGCACAATGTTTGACTCTGTTATAATATCGCTGTTGGTCAGGCCCGGTTTGATGCGACCGAGATACTTGTAGTGTGGGTATTTTTTTTGGAGGGTAGTCGCCCAATCGAGTCTCCCAGCGTGACCACCAAGGGTGCATGCCCTTGTCGGGTTCTGGTCTGGGTTTGTGTTGAAGACTAATTCGTATTCCCCGGCATTGTACTCGCGGTTCCACTGGCGCTGGACGCGTACGACCTCTCCTGGCAAGGGACGCATGTCAGTCTTTATAAGGAGAAGGGTTGGAAATGTCAAGTGATGAAGTCCTGAAAGTAGGTCCACGGGTGATTTGTAACAAAACGCACCCTTCCATGGCCAGTGCTGATGCGTTCTCTATACATAATGTTCAGAGAAACAATATTAGACTTACCGCATTGATCCTTTATTTCTTGATCATGGTAACTAATTACGACATAGCCGGCAATGTAAATGGCATGAGGAACTGAGAAGAACTCGGGCCGCACCTAGACAGACTGTGTTAGCCTTTCTCATGCGAGTATTACATGGGATTATCGAGTTAGGGACCTACGCTTAGTCGCATGGCGTGTCCCTCCCCGCTCCTGCTCACTGTCCACGCACTACTAGGTATCTTGCTAGCTTTCATCAGGATCTTGAACGTGGTGTCGTCGGCGTCATAAATGCTCTCCGTCGGTACGGGTTTAGGTGCAGCCCGGATTTCGCTACCTCGTTTTGCTTTGGGTTTGCACGTAGGCTCGCCCTTGTCGCCTGAGTACTTGATTAGTATTTGCTTTCTCATATGGACAGCTGGTCAAAATACCTGTCTTCGCTGGTGGATGATTTGAAGCGCTAGGTCTGTCAGGAACATCTGTTGGTTTTCCAGCGGGCTCATTCAATCTACCGGCCCATCTCAATCAGCAACTATTCCAAGACAGAGGTAACCTGAGATAATCATCTAAATGGTTATTCATCACTTACGACACTGTGTGCTTTTTGCCAAACACTTTGAACTCAGCAGAACCCTCCTTCTCGATACCCTTGACGCAACCTTGTATGATCGCTGGTGTTGCGGCAATTTCAACAAGATCAGCAATCTCACCAATAATTGGGATAAGGTCCTCAAGAGCCTCCAAAGGCGCCAAAAGAGCAGGAACAGCAACGCGGCAGAAGGCTTTGGCTGCGATATCAAGCGCAGCCTGCTGAGCGGCAGCCTCCGCAGCAGCTTTTGCAGCATCTTCGAGGTCATGTTTCAGCGAACTAGTAGGGGGCTTGAAGTTTGCGCAGCAAAAACTCTGGGCGCCTCCGTGACAGTTTTTATCGCCTTTTTTGGTATGCTGGTTGGTGTTCGTTGTGAGCTCTGTCTCTCCAGAAGCACACCCAGTAGTGCAGCTTAGACCTGCCCCTCTGTACCCGCGCCAAGTGCATGTCCCCACCTGCGTTTTGTCGTCACAACAGAGACTTCGATATTTCTTCTTTTGACAGCGGTCGTTGGTACTCAGTTGGCCAGGCTGGCCATTGTACTGAGCAACTTCATTCGTGCCGGCCTTACAGGGAACACCGCAATCCTCGGTGTAACAGGACCCGGTAGCCGCTTGATCAGCAGTGGCCTGGTTCGCGTTTGCTTGCTGGTCAGGGGTCACAGTGATACCAGCTGCGCCTGAAGCGCCACCAAAGCCCTTGCTCGCCGTCTGGTCGACTTGATCCATAGCCCAAACCATCATGCCACCCAGGCACCGGCTACTCGCGAAATCGCGCTTCTGCGCAAAAGTATCTGCATCATCATAGGAAACCCATTGATTGGTGTCCCAAGTGATCCATTTGACACCGGCAGTCTTATCATGAACGGGGGTCAGACTGTTCTTCGTAATGATATCGGTGATTTCTTGGTAATCGAGGATTCCACTCGCCTTCGAGCATGGTCCAGGGTTGCCGCCTCCGTTAGTACTTGGGAACTTGCAGATGCCATTAGGGGTATTGCAGCTCGGGTCCGCTAGTGTGAAGCTTCGACCATACCAGCCTTGGCCCATGACGACTTTATTTGAATCGACACCAGCGCGCCAAAGCAAATCCAAGGCCAAGTCAATCTCGGTAATATTGGTATGAGGAGCAATGTAGGGGCCTACATATCGGCTCTGCGCATCCCTATAGCATTTATCGGTTAGCCCTCTATATATAGATAGGTAACTTCCACTTACCAGACTCCGTGCAGATCGTATGCCATAAGATTGAACCAGCTTATTGAGTCCTGCATCTTGGCGAGGTCAAAGTGCTGGAGATACCAATATGACGTGGGAATTGTGACGGTGAGCTCAAATTTGGATCCAAATGCGGCGCTCATCTCTTTGCACAGGGCGACATAGTTCGCAGTATCTGCGGGAATACCCCCACGGTCATCGGCTCCTGGATACTCCCAGTCCAGATCCGCACCATCGAAACCGTAAGTTTCCATGAAGTTGATAATATTGTTGATAAACATCGCTCGGTTCCCTTCGCTACTCACCATGTTCGTGTAGGCTTTTTGCGTTGGTCCAGGATCTGTAAAGGACCATCCGCCAATGGAGATAAAGGCCTGCAGCCCAGGCTTCTTACTCTTCAAGGCAGTAAATCGACTATACAGAGAGCCTGCATTTGAATCCATGGGCGTGATTGAGAAGCTGATGGCATCGAAGGATGCAAATGCAAAGTTGATGGATGTGAAGCCATCAAGATTAAGGTCTTCAGGAGAAACGCTTTGGCAAGAACGGGTATTTGCCCAGGACTCATAGTAGCCAACGTTCCGTTTGGAAACCCCAGATGCCCCTCCGCATGATGGACGTGGAACAGAGCCGCATCCGCCATACTTGGTACTGCATTCGCTGTAGTTTGGATCGGCAGTGTTGTTCCAAACGCAAAACTCAGGTGTAGACCCACAGAAGCCAAACTCCGAACAACAGACGTTCAGCGGGCATCCCTGACTGCCTGCTACCGCATACGGTCCACACTCCGCCTTTGCGTTGCCTGTTGAATCAGTCAGTCAATTCATATCCCAATAAAAGTTTATGCAGTAAACTTGAAGATGAGTTGCCAGGAGACTCGCAACCTAATTTTCGAGAAAAAGTATAAATCAAATTGTACGTGTAAAGCTAATCAAACCACGTGCTTTGCGCTAGAGTTCTTCAATCATATCTCCCGACAAGGCAGATACTTAACGAATCAGAAAGTTCGAGAGCCACGTTCCGGTACGACGCCTCATACAGCGTTTCAATGAATATAAGTCATTTCACTTACAATTTGATTGACAGCCGGTTGCACATGACTTGGGCGAGTATCCACAAAGATTGTCACTTCCGCAACATGCGCCATTCACACAAGGAGTATTCGCATTACAAGTCCCTGTCGGTAGATCTCGTGTCTGAAGGTCAAATGCGTGTGGCGGGGCAGTTGATGCAGCAAATATAGGGGTGAGGATGAAGAGAAGCAAAAGACTTTTGAAAGACCCCATGGTTACAGACGACTGAAAGACGGAAAAGAGTGGAAGCTGTTTCGATGAATAAAATAAGAGATAGGAAGGGGCCGAAGGGCAGAGTTTGAAAGAAAACACTTTTCATGATGCTAGCACGTCGGTAAGACGGAATGCCTAGATCCAGTTCTATCATCCTTCACGCTATGCATAGTAAGATTGACAAGCTTTACATCCCTAAAGATAGACGGTTGGCACGCTGGTGCCAATTTCCGATCTGCGGGTCGCGGGCCGCTTTCGGATCCGTTTCAAATGGTGAGGTACGAAATGTACGAGACCTGCACACTGTTACCTCCCCTAAACTCATCGCTCTCGTTGCGGATTGGCACTGCCCGACTCCATTCAGGCGCTAGTATGTGAGAGATCACCCGAGAGGGTCAGCTGGCCCGTGTTGAGGAGGAGATAGTCCGTCTATCGTCACATTCTGGCGGTCGGTTACGAGTCATGTCGTGCATGTTACTTTTACGCGGGCACTAGGGTGGAACGTGGCCGCGGTGGCCAGAAATTACTTACCTGTCCACCAATCAGCGACTCTTCTAAAAGTGCTTTTCTGTGATGGGCTGAACATCCTGGCCATAATAGAGGTAACAGGACAGATGAAACAGTAGTTGTTGAGACCCTCTATGGAGCATCCCGTAAATGCTTGCTTGCAGGCGGAGCCTCTTTTCGGATGGTTTTACTGGGGTATAAAAACCCTAGTTTGCTAGTTATGAATAGATTATAATTCTTCCTCTGCTTTCTCTCATCCATAGTAGTAGCCTGTCCTCCAACAGTAGTCAAGACGAAGGCAAAATTGCTCATTCCTTCTATTATCTGAAATACCTCAAAAGGCTGCGCAGTAATATTGCTCAGCTGAGGATCTACAGTGATTTTCCATATAAGCTGGGTTCCTTAATTTCAACAATGCAAGCCAACTTCATTAATATCACACGACCTAAGCCAACAGAGGTTACTCTCTCCGTGCTAACAGGCATTTGATATTTTATATAAGCGCCGGGATGTAACGTAATTCCGGCTCGAGCGGATCACCCCAAAACACATAGTAGATGCGATGTTTTTATTATACTAGCATTCAACCATAATATACCAATTTACTTCTAATTTCAGTATATAAATTCTTCTATACTTAAGAAATAGATATACTTCAATCTTGCTTTTTTTTCCCCCAGGACTATTTTGATAGCTTACCATAAAAGTTAGTAGGCCGTAATTACTATCTAGATTATGTATGCTTAACATCTTCAATATTATCCCCAATCCATGTAGTTATTGAAATAAAAAGTTGTAATTTATCGTATTTATCACATAAATATGTATTTCTAAGGTGATCCACTCGGGAACTACGTTACTTCGGCTCCTTTCTCTCGTTCCTTGGATTTCTTTTCGTTCCGCCTCACTGCAGCAATTCATCTAATACCGGTATGATGTATCGGTCTCTTTGCATGATGCTACGGAAAGGTGACCATGACATCCTTCCAAAGGTGCATTAATTTCTTTTCGTGGTATCTATCCCTTTTAACGCTCACTCAGTTAAGTATTTTAGACACAATTTTTATACAGGGATATTTACCACTCAGAATTCCTGTTTGCACTATTGATACCGTATTTATATGCTCGCGAAGCTAAAAAGGGCTTCTGAGCGTTGAAGCGATAATCTCCGTCTGGTGAGACATCTTCTTGGTTCTTGGTTTTTGGTTCGGCCTGCTCTCCCGTCGAAAAGGGTCTTCTTCGACCCTTCACGTCTTGAAGAAACTTGCAACATTTATTTGTTTGGAGCATAGAAATGCCGATTTTTAACCCATTCTTTGCCGTGCTGTCTTTTTCGGCATGCACCATGGCCCAATTCAACCTTTACCCAGGTGTCCCCTCAGATCTCTTGAGTACGGCATTCAACATTAGCTCTGGCTGCTTAACGGCTCTCAATGCTACTCTCAGTTGCGATCAAGACCTCTTTTCCATGGCTGGAAACGCTGATGGGTTCTTCTGGAGCGATGACAATGCTACAGCACTTTGCACTGGTGCTTGCCAGAGCTCAGCAGCTTCGTGGTGGAATAGTTGCGCAGATGCATGTGCCAACGACCAGTTGAACGCGTATGGAAGGGTATGTGAAAAACTCTTGTAGATCTTCGATTACTTACACGAATTATAGATCTATCCTGCCCAGACCGTACCCGGGCGCTTTGTGGACGGCTTGAACATCGTTTGCGTCACTGCAAATACCGATCTGACTCTGGACGTTGGGATCAACGGCACCATCACGAATTCAACATTCCTTGACAACAGTACGACTGCATCTGCCACCAGTGAAAATCTGGTCTCTCGCCAAATATCTAGCATATCTCAGTATTGTCTTGTCCAGTCCTACGACTGGGTTGGATCGGATATTATCCGCCCTGACTGCACTGACCCTGCCAACTCCAACTCCTCTCAATGTGTTGATCCTACGGACGTCCCGCCTGAGAACGAACGGCTTGCAAACCTCTACCCAGACGACTTGTTGTGCTCGCAGTGCTTTTTGAGCATGTTCTACCTGCGGATTGCATCTCCTTTCCTGCCGGATGTGGATCATTCAGATTACCTGGTTGATCAATGGTTTGACATTCTTGACATCTGCAACGCCACTTCAAAAGTACCCGATCTCCTCGTTCGAAACCTTCCTTATTATCAATATGCTCCAGGAGAATCGGACAACTGGGTCGACAACACAACGTACGGTTTCAGCGACCTTCAGCCTCTCGGAGGCAATGGAACGACCAATGTGACTTGTCAAGCCCGGAGCATTAATTTGGCTGATCTGAATCCTCCGGAAATTGATTATACCACCCAAACAACTTGTGATGTCATGGCCCCGTTCTTGAATGCATCAACGGGTGATATATGGCAGATGTATCAAAATCCAGACTGCATGCCTGATTTTGATTATACCGAGATCCCTGTTGTGTGTCTTCCATTCTCTTGCTCTGTTACCCAGCTGAACGCAAACACGACCTGGTAAGTCTGCTCAAACCCATAGAATCCGCATCAATTTGCAGTAGCGAATTATGACACTCACTCACACCGAACGCAGTGATCAATTCGTCGCAACTCTTCCGGCTATTGGTAACAACACCATCACCACCACACAGTTCCTCTCGTGGAATCCGAATCTCATTGGTATTTGTGATAATACGACCGAGCAATATGTTTGCACGAGCGCACCAGGCGGTACTTACATCTCGCCCCCAACGAATATAACGACTAGTAGCGGGGACTCGCGTGGTGGAGGTGACGGAAGTGGGACATCCACTGGAAGTAGTGGGGTTGGTGGCTCCTCCAGAAACTCCACTCTCGTAGCGCCCGGTGGCACTCCTCCCAGCCCAACCCAGTCTGGCATACCATCAACGTGTGATCGGTATGCCCAGGCTCAGTCGGGCGATGGCTGCGACTCTTTCAGCCAGGACTTCGGCATCACATCACAGCAGTTGGAGACGTGGAATCCTGTTCTTGGGTCAAATGGCGAGAACTGTCTCACGCAGTTCTTCGCTGGGTACTGGTACTGCGTTGGACTTGTAGGTTCTGCAACAAGTACAGCCACCACTACCACAACCAGTTCCACGGGTGTACCTACTCCGTCACCAGTCCAATCCGGAATCGACCCGCAATGCACGAAATATTCCGAGGCCGTCTCCGGAGATTCCTGCATCGCTTTCGCCTCAGCGAATAATATCACTCCCGCCCAGCTTTATAGCTGGAACCCAGTCCTTGGTAGCGGAGGCTCGAATTGCGGCTCAGATTTCTGGGCCAACGAGTACTATTGCGTCGGCGCACCTGATGGTTCCGCTACTACAACAACTGCTCCTACAAGCACGGCTGTAGCCACGCCTTCGCCAATCCAGTCAGGTATAGACCCGCAATGTACGAAATTTGCTGAAGCTGCCTCGGGAGATTCTTGCCCCGGCTTCGCCACGAAGAACGGTATCACAGCCACCGAGCTCTACTCCTGGAACCCAGTCCTCGGCGCAGGAGGTGCGAACTGTAATTCTGATTTCTGGGCCAACGAATACTATTGTGTTGGTGCACCTGGAAGCTAGTCTACTTGAACCATTGGAATTGTGGGTTATTCATAGAGTATTACTGCTGTACTAAGAAGTTGATTAAGCTACCTCGTTGGGACAAAACAAGCGGAAGCAATTATTGTACAACGCCCCACACGGCGTGGCAGATTCATAACTAATACTGCTTTTTTTGTCCACCGCGAGGATACATGTAGTGTATAGTTGCTGGAATCAATGTTTAAGCGACGGAGGGGAGGATTGCCATCATCAAAATATACCAATACAAATCTTTTTAAGCAGTATAGGCTAGAGGTTGCTCCCAGTCTCAGTAGTATTGCAGTGAGTTCGAGGATTGATATTGGAGCATGATATTGGAGCAGAGGGAACAACAAGGGGAAGATTGCCTAAATAGAGTGCCTGTTGGTAGAACACATGATGCTTGAAAGATGTAAATTGAATCAAATTCAGCATACTGGACGAACTCAGTAAGCTACATCAATAAAATGCAACATGTTAGTTCCATCACGTGCACTCTATCTCTCTGAAAAGCCCCCATTATCCTATAAAAAAAAGACTAGCGCCGTCAACGAGACCGTTCGTGCTAATGATCTATTCCTATTCAAGTGGCAAACGACAGTGTAATCTGTTAGCATATCAAGCTCGAAAGAGGAGCCACGCTTCCTCAGGCTACAAGCCAGAAGTGATCAAGCGCAGGCTCTCAATCCAAATACTCCTGCTCTCATTACAGAGAGAGAGAGGCCCGCCATGACTGACCCGTACTAACAATCTACAGCGTCCTAGAAGACCGAAAATGGCCCTCCCCGATAATCCAATAACTTACTCCAAGCCCCTTAGAAGACCATGTCTCTGCATCCGACTATATCATCTGCCTAGCCCAAGAAAGCCCAACAACCACTTCCTTCGAGCAGCCATGCGCCTTCCCCATCTGTGAAAGTAAGGAGGGTTCTGCGACAAAGTACATTTGGTGGGGTTAGCACCGGGTATGGGTGGTTGAGCGCTTCGCACGGTTACTAAGGCTATCTATTTGACATATGTATTTATCGGAGGTTGTTAAGATCCGGTGAGTGGTCCTCATGGGTTTTGTATAGTGTGTTACGACGCTTCACTTTCAAATATATCCTAAATACCATATAAAACTAGTGGAGGAACGGGCGGATGTTGAATAAGCCTGTCCATGGGTCCACAGTGGTACGTACATAAGCTTGGCTTGTCAAATAACCTTGTGTTGATTTGAAAAGGTGCCAATTGATGCCAAGGGTGATCGTCCCGTGGGTTACGCATGGCTATTGCGCGGCTAGAAACTCCAGTTTATATAAACTTATCTACAAGCTATGTGGGAGATCAACAGTCGATCCATCTTCCATCTCAGGCATTGGCTGTCCTCCGATCATGCATTTTTCCAAGCTTTTGGCCGTCGCCAGTCTCGCGACTGTGGCCCTCGCCCACCCCGGGCCTCACGCTCACATTTCTAAAAAGGAAGTGGCTCGCCGAGATGGGCTTTCCAAACGCTGTGCTAGCCACGTTGCACGTTTCAATGAGAAACGCTGGAAGCGGAACACCTTCGGTAAACGTTCCCGCGGTAACACCACCGTGCACATTCAAACCGAAGCACCTTATTACGACGTCATCCAGAATGATACCTGCGTGTTGACCCCTGAAGTCACCGAGGGACCGTATGTCTGGCCGCGCTCCCAAACCCTCCGTCAGGATATGACCGAGGATCAGCCCGGCGTCCCCCTGTGGCTGGATGTTGGTGTGCTGGACATGGCTACCTGTGAGCCTTTGGAGGGTGTTCTGGTCGACTTTTGGCACTGCAATGGCACCGGAAGCTACTCCAGCTTCACGGGACTGTCTCCTAATACCGCTTTCCCGACGCTCCTGGAACAACTCAACATCACTGATTTCGAAATTGGCACCACGGACATCCACACTGACAACACCACCTTCTTGCGTGGAATGTGGCCGACTGACGCCAACGGCATGATGGAAATGAAGACCATTTTCCCAGGTAAGCTTTACCGCTATATCACACAAGCTCACCCTGTCACAGATACCTGACGCTTTTGCACAGGATTTTACATTGAAAGAGCCATCCACATCCATGTGCAAGTTCACACCGACTGGACTATCCGTGGAAACGGCACCATCGCCTACGGTAACACAGTCAGCACCGGTCAGGTATACTTTGAAGAGGAGCTTGAGGCGAAGATCATGGCTTTGGAGCCCTATGCCTCACACACAGAGATTAACCGCACCACCAATGCTGCCGACACCGTCTTTAGCGAGGACACTGTAAATGGTTACAACCCGGTCATCTCTATCGTTCCTATTGACGGCAAGGATGTGACCAAGGGTATGGTGGGATACATCACTATCGGGGTAGACACGACCGCAATCGAGTAAGGAGGATTGCTCAATTCTAGAATTGACATGGGGCTTTGTGTGGGCATGTGATTTTGGCGTAAAGACGCCGGTATACCGAGGGATTTACATGTATTAATCCTACATATTTTGTAATTTATGTTATATAACACATTTCACTACCAAGCTGGACACCCCAAAACACATAGTAAATGCGATAAATTACAACTTTATATCTCAACAACCACGTTTTTATTTATTTCATTACCTTCGATAGCTATTGATAAGAATTTTGAATACTATATATCAATCTCAAGAACATCCAAGAGATGCATTCTCACAGTACTCCGTATAAACTACTAATTAGGGCTAATCCTTTCTGGGTATAGCCTACGGCGGGCTGAGTGGGCACTCATATCGGGTAGACTTCCGAAGTTGTAACTGCATGATTATATAATAAAATTATTTTAGGTCTAGGTTAGGTACCTAGGTAGGTCCACCTAGTTACCTCACCTTATGTAATCTTGCAGTTACAACCTTCTTTGGAAGTCTACCCGAGCTGGAACCCAAGGCTGAGTACATCAATTTCACTGATTGAACACTGGGCATCCAATGAGTACTCACTGAGCACTCACTGAGGATCAGTCATTCTGCACGTGACTGAATTGAACATGATCACTGATCTGAGCCTGTGCTGACATATCTACTCAGTGAGCCTGAATATGTTATTAGTATAAGTTGATATGTTCAATTTGAACGCGGTTATAGATTACATGGAACCTCAGTAGGAGAAACCAGCGTTTCGGGGATTCCTTTGGGTGAATTCTTTTTGGTACTAAATGTGACACATATCGCAATAATGGCCCTCCTCTTGACTACTTTGTCTCTATTTTTTATTAAAAAAAAAAGAAAGGAGATTCCTTGGCGATCTCAATCGAGGCTCCATATCGGCCCGCCACCACCCTAGCCCCTATATGGCGTTGGCATGATGGGTTGACTGAGCGTGATCGTCAAGTGAAGATGATCAACACGGGAGTGTCCTGATTTAGCGTAACTTTGCTTTTTTTCGGCTTCATACTAGGTACTAGTATGCAATAAGCAAGGCACACGTTATAAATGTAATATTAAGCCCATACCTTAAGTCTGGTGGAATTGCATGTTTGACCTATGGTGAGCCGGTACTTAAGAACCGAAAAATATATAGATCTAATTGGCTATAGACGATTCTTAGAATATAGATCACATCTATAGATACTCACGATGTTACATCACATCAATATCTATTTATTCACGAAAATATCGAGGAACATGATGACAGATAGAGAAAAAGAACGACTATATATAAGTTTGCGTAATAACTCCAACACAGCTAAATTTCACCCTGGGATTCAATAAACTATCTATCTATTTACCCCCAAACAAGTCTCGATCTGCTGATTGAGTTGAATTTCCTAGCTCCCACTCTTTCCACTTTGAAATACCAAACAAGCACAAAACAATGCTGTCGACTACTGCTTTCCGTGGCCGGTCATTCATCGTTACCGGCGGAGCCTCTGGAATCGGGTTTGGAATTGTCAAGAAACTCCTCGACCTATCTGCTAGTGTGCATGTTATGGACATAGCAGATGAACTCTCAGATACAGAGGCACCTCCCTCTCCTGACCAAACAAGCCGATTACATTTCTATCCTAAGACGGACGTGGCCTCTCGGAATACGGTACGGGAGACCTTCAAGTCAATCCTTAACAAGTCTCCCATCATTCACGGGTTGGTAAATTGTGCGGGGATCTCGCCTCGAACAGCATCGATCATCAATACCGATGAGGCGTTTGATGCAATCATGGCAGTCAACGTCAACGGGGTGTGGAATGTCGGAACCGAATATCTACGCTATCTCTTGAAAACTCAGGAAGAAGCTGCTGCTACCACCTCCGATATTACCCTACCTATTGAGCCGCTCAGCAACGCTGGGGTGTCCAAAGTGACGGCCAGTATGGTGAATGTGGGATCAATTGTCTCAACCCATGGGTTTGCCGGTGTGGCTGCCTATACTGCCAGCAAGCACGCTGTGCTAGGTCTGACTCGAACGTGGTCCAAGGATTTCGCACAGAAAGGAGTGCGGATCAACTGTCTTGCTCCGGGAATTACGGACACGCCGCTTCTCAGGAATTATGCAACACAGGAGATCATTGACGAGCATTATCTCCCTCTTATCCCCATGCGAAAACTAGCAGATACCAAGGAGATTGCCAACGGGGTGATTTTTTTGCTGGGTGATCAGTCGACTTATGTCACTGGAGAAGTCCTTGGGGTTAGGGGTGGATTTCCCTAATTTCCAATGCTTTCTCTCCCCTTTCCTCCATCGTATGTGTTGTGTTTGTTGAATGGGAACATTAGCTCGTCAAAAGACAACTTCATCAGCGATTATTTCATGGGCGAAGTCTAGCACATTTGCAATTTCCCAACCAAGGCTGTCTAGAAGCAATCTTACAATCAAGGCTCTGCTAGTTTAACCCAAAGTCTATGGCTAGGCCATCAACTATTCCTTACCCTGGGCTCGAGCATTCCGCGCGCCTTCACTCGCCGTTGTCGAGATGACCTTGCCAACCTTCTCAATATCCTTTTAACCAGAAATTCCACCGATCGATGCTCATCGGTCCCGCCGTCCAAAGCCTCCCCTCTCTCTCCAACGCCCAGGACTTCTCACCTTTCTTTGCGCCCTCTCTGAGCCTTTCCCCAGCTATCTTGATCCACACCGCCGCAGCAGGTACCTCAAAGTCCCACACTGCATCCTGGCATTCGAGCGCCTCGGAGACACACTCATAGCCCCAGCTAAGTGGCAAGAGACCATCTTCAGCATTCGGTCCCGGAGCAGCCATTGCACAAGATGCCTCTACAAAAGCCTGGTGCACGTGAGCGTCGCGCATCTTCGTTCTTATGGCTAGATCCCGCGTCGACAACATTTTGCGCCAGTGGCTCTGCTTCCATCCATCTGACCAAGAGTGGCCGAAACTCCTAAGACCTTTCCAAACGGGTTCACCGTCCTCTTCATCTGGCAGCTGGTTAATTTCCTTTAGCAGGACGACGAGGGCGGGCGTGTGCCTTTCGTGCAGCTCCAAAAGCGCGTCTTCCATTATGCCCAGTACGCGGTCTCGCAGGTCGGTCTTCTTCTCGGAGTCATGAGGCTTGGTCATATCGGCAGCTACCTCGGATGGCTTGGAGTCGCCTTTTAGGTACGCTTTGAGAGCCGCAGCTTGATAGGGATGCACCCCAGTCTCTTCCTCGCCGTCAATAGGTGCAGTGTGCTGGTCGAACCAAGCATCGTCAGCAGCGGAGCCGAAGCTACCGACCTTGACGGGTTGGCACGTCATTTCTTGAATGCTGGTGTTCATGATGACGGAGCGTGAGGGCTCTTGAAGGAATGATTTTTGGGTCTTTGGGTGTCACTATGCTGCGTTGCTGGGATATGTTCGAAGAAAGAAAGTGCGGAATGGTTACAATATCGGATACTTCGAAGTGGCAACTAGGCAGCAGAATTCCTAAATAGATTTATACTACACCAAATTTACTTTAGTGATGGCCGGAAGTAGGGATTATTTAGCAGGTCGTGAGCGGACGTTAGAGCTGTAGGCCGATCCCCATGCGACTTACTAGCTAGCGGATTCGATCGGCTCCAGAACGTAGATCACCTCCCCAATTGTTCTAGGGCGATACTATTACAGAACTTGGCTTTACGGCAGATTCTCTAGTATGGAAACTACAGGCTCGCCAATCCCATGGCAAAACAAGTTGCCGCGCTAGTTGATACCAAGGGTAAGGGCCACGGGTATTAGATTTAGGGCTTGATAATAAGAGAAGGCAGCTGCATGATGAAGTTGATAGCGTTTTTGAATGTGTTGTAGAAGGGTTCGATGGTTTGAGTTGAATGTGATAATTCTTGGATGGGGGATATCTTCCTATTTACACCCAAAGCCAGACTTGATCAACCTTTATTCAACACCATTTATCGTCTCCATGGATATAGCCACCTTTGTTTTGATCTATATAAAATACATCTGTAAATATCTGCCTAAGCACTTGGTTATTTTACCTTTTTACCTACACCCTATAAGGATCTGGTATTAATGCACCACAGTCCCCATCATTCACATATTATTCCGAGCTCGTCCGCACAGTACCCCGAACAGCTAACCCTCCATCTGGACCTTCAATCCACACATCCCAAGCCCCAGTGCCATTCTTAGGCTTGCCACAGATCACCAGCTCCTGCTCAACAAAAAGAGGCACTAGATTCTTATATTCAATGTCACTGATGCGGAGATTCAATATACTCAGCTGTTGCTGAAGCACACTCAGTAGTAGCGTGAGCGTCAACGGGCCGTGCACTAAAAGATTCGGGTATCCCTCCTGGTTCTGAGTATAGCCCTTGTCAAGGTGAATGGAATGGGCATTGAAAGTCAGCGCCGAGAACCGGAAGAGTAGCGCTTTAGTAGGTATGAGGGTATGGCGGAACGTCGCATTGGAGGGAGCTTCATTGCGCCAGAATCATTAGCACATTTGACATCATATTCCATGGTTGAAAATATATGCTCACGTTTCACAATCCTACCAGGCTTTCCAAATTGCGCTTTATCGGCCTCGATTTGGGAGCTGGTTTTTAGGCGCATGAAAATCAGGTCCCGGTTCTCAATGACCGATGATTCTCCCGCGTTGTCTTCGTTCTCTTTCCATATCCGGTCCCAGGTCTGTTCAGCCGTTTCTTGTTCGGGAACATTGCCAATGCGACGCTCGATGGTGACAATAACTTTCTCGTCCCCCTCGCGGCCCTTCACTGTCACGTTGCGGATGGATTCTATGCACACTGCGCGACTGCCATCCAGAGGCGGACTGCGCACGGGGAATCTTAGATTTCCACCTGCCCATAGGCGCCGATTAAACGGTTCGCCCGGTGTGTGTAGCGTATCTGTGCAGTCCGGGAGTAGTTGCGACAAGGTCACCTGCGGCGGGAAGTAGATTAAGTGGTGACCAGCCGGGAGCGGGGACGGATTCTGTAATGACGGCAGAGTCGCATAATCCGAGGAGTTTTGGGATTTCGGAAGAATATCACGGAGTGTGAGGTTCAGAAGATGCGAGGGTTGTGGGTGTAGATAGTCGTAAGTCAACGGCAGCTTCCTTGTGGTCAGTTCATGATGCAAGCGCTCGGAGAGCGAGGAGTAAGTCCGAAATGCATGACGCCCGCCTCGCAAAGAGATCAGGGGTCGGAGTGAATTTGTTTTCATGAGCAAAGACACTGACCGAATCGGACGATTATCGAATCGCAAGCTTCACTTGAAGCAATAGACAAATCCCTTGTTTGATTTGTTTGTCTGTCGTTCATTGCCTATGTCGGAACTGCCATAACATCGGAATTCACCCCACACCGCTCGGAGACCCGATGTCGCCTGTCGATGAAATGACAAGTCCGAAGTTTTGATTTGATTCAAATAGGTTCGGCGCAATTGACACGGGAAAATACCACTCCATACTTCATAATGAGTCCCTTGAGAGTCGCCTTCCTAGGGCCGCTGGGGTCCTTTTCGCATCAGGTACGAACTTTACCCCACATCCTTGCAAAAGCAACTTAGTTTAATTATTGATCCCTGTTCTAGGCTGCTGCAGAGTCCTTTTGCAAACTATCCGCCGATCTACAACCTCATGTCTCATTCCAAGATGCCTTTGCCGCGCTCCAAAACAAAGAAGTTGACTACGCCGTGATTCCGTCCGAGAACTCGACCAATGGCTCTGTGATGCAAACATTGGACCTTTTGGCAGACCGGGATGGTTTATATAAAGAAGTGAAAGTGTGCGGGGAATATTACCTGACAGTGCACCATTGTCTAATGGTGCGCAAGGGCACATATCCCGGTGGTTGGGCCGACTACGACGGCTCGATAACCAAGCTATACACACACCCGCAAGCATGGGGCCAATGCGAAGCTTTCTTGACCAAATACTTCAAGGGTATCGAGAGACAGGATGTCGCATCCACATCCAAGGCGGCGGAGATCGTCTCCAAGGAGACAACGGAACGAGGCGCTGCCATTGCCAATCGCTTCGCGGCAGAACAACACGGGACGGACATACTCGTGGAAAACATCGAAGATCGAGCGGACAACACTACTCGTTTCCTGATCTTCAGAAATGTGCTCGATGAGCGAACTGCTCAACTCAAATTCGAGCAGCCGCCTACGTTGGAAGGCGAGCCTGCCCTTGAAACCACGCATAAAACCTTGATTACTTTCACGATTGATCATTCCTCCCCCGGTGCATTGGCAAATGCGCTGTTGATCTTCAAAGCCCATGGCTTGAATCTTACGAGCATTAATACAAGGCCGAGTCTGAAGAAGCCGTGGCAGTATATCTTTTTCGTTGAGTGTGGAAGGACACCCTCGGACGAGAACAAGGAGGCAGTCCACAAGGCTCTCAATGATTTGCGTCAAGTCACTGAGACATGTAGGGATTTGGGGACCTGGAAAGATCAATTAAGTGCAAGCAATGCTTGACTTGATTGACTGGTTCTAATTGGGGAATCACTTCGGTCTTTTTGGTTGAGAGCAATGCATTGATGATTTTGCAAGCGCCCTGAAAGCGCCGTGAAAGCGTCATGTCATATGTGTTGAAGATATCTCGGTTTACTATACGAATAAATGAACTAAAAATGTACGCACTGTCGATAATATAGACAAAGTGTACACCGCAAGATAAAACAAAAACTTAATAGACAATAAATAGCACCTTCTATATCAACCCTTTCGGGTGAATTTTTTTTAATAACGAGCAAATAACGAGCGAAGTACCAGAAAATGCCATTCGGAGATGAAACGACAAGAACTGGCTGAGAAATAAAACAATCCAACACTGTCCGGCTTACATAGAGTAAGCAGTGCAAGCAGCGGCGGATGACCAAATGTAGCAGATAACTGCACCCAACCTTTCAAATTGCAATTTAAACCTCATCTTCATCTCAGACACCGAGGTGACCTCAGTGTGCTTATCTTGGAGCTTGGACGACACTGTACTCAAACATTAGAGCTAACGCCGAGTGATAGTTTATGTGAATGTCTCACCTCTGAGCAGCTTCACGGAGCTTGGACCAGGCCTTTTTTGGTTATCCTTTACGGATGCCTTGGTTCCATTGCGGGAGCCGCCTGTATGATCCACAGGGCGAGCCGTCAAAAGACTCGCCGCGGGAGCTTCTGGCCGTTCATCCTCGCTCTCTGCGAGGGGGCAATACCGTCAATCTGCAGGGAAGTTAGTATCAACATGAATATGGAAAACGAGAAGGAAACATAC